GTTGTTTCTTGAGGATTCTTCAGTCGATCCTTGAGGATCTCTGAGTCGACCAACGAGGAGCCTTCAGCTGATCCTTGAGAATCCTTCAGTTGATCCTTCAGGACCCCGCAGTTGGTCCTGGAGGGTCCTTCAGTTGGTCCTGGAGGGTCCCTCAGTTGATCTTTCATGGTCCTTTTGTCGATCCTGGAGGATCCCTCGCTTGATCCTTTTGGGATCCTGCAGTTGTTTGTCTCAGGATCCCTCAGGTGCTCCCCGAGGATTCCTCAGATGATCCATGGGGATCCCTCCGTTGATTCACCAGGATCCGTGAGTGGAACCGTGAGGATCCTTCACTTGATCCTATTGGGATCCTTGAGTAGATCTTCGAGGGACCTTCAGTTGATCCACCAGGATCCGTGAGTTGGGCCGTGATGATCCCTCACTTGGTCCCTGTTGGGACTTTCGAGAGGATCCTTGAGGATCCCTCCGTTGATCCTGGAGGATCCTTCAGATGGCCCTGGAGCATCCTTCACTTGATCCTTGGGGATCCTTCAGTTGATCCCTTACGATTCTTCATTTGATCCGTGAGGATCCCTCAGTCGATTCTCGAGGATCTCTCAGTCGATCAACGAGGGTCCTTCAGCCGTTCCTTGGGAATCCTTCAGTTGATCCGTCAGGCCCCTCAGGTGATTCTTGAGGATCCCTCAGTTGATCCTGGAGGATCGTTCAGTTGATCTTTCATGGTCTTTCAGTTGATCTTGGAGGATCCCTCAGTCGATGTTTGAGGATCCCGCAGTTGTTTCTTGGAGGATCCCCCAGTAAGTCCTTGAAGATCACTGAGTTGATCCACCATGATCCGTGAGTTGAGCCGTGCGGATCCTTGAGTTGATCATTGCGGATTCCCCAGTTGACCCTTGAGGATCCGTCAGTTGACCCTTGAGGATCCAGCAGTTGATCCGTGAGTTTTCCTCAGTTGGTTCCTCAGGATCCTTCGGCCAGTTCCATTAAGGGTTCCCCATTTGCATGATGGCGGAACATGAAATTCGGTTTTGCCGAGGTTCGGGGGCGTGCTTTCAGACAGCCGGTGAAAGCACCATCCCGCGCAAATTCGGTGTGGGTGAGCGAGGATGACCAGTGTAGACACGGTTCGGCCAGTGTGATGTCGGCTTCGCCGGTGTAGACTTTTTTCTCCTCCCCCACCTCCCCCCCTCTCCCCCCCTATTCCCCCCCTCCCGCCCCGCCGCCTTATGAATGATGCTGGGCCGAAGCGGCGTGGAAGTGAATTTTGACCTGCATGAAGTTCTGGATTCTTTCAGGGCCTCGCCAGGCCCTCACCTCGCCCTCAACGTTAGTAAACTTGCCAGAGCCTGAAGGATAACGGCCTCGAGGGCGTCATCCGCGGACGACGTATGCGCACCATACCGCGTTGGCCTCTCCCGAGGCATCGTCGATTTTCGAGCCAGGAGTGGTACGGTGCATAGTTGCACCCCGAGAGCCGAACAACTATGCACCGTATCGCGTTGGAGCAGGGTCTGATGGCAGTCCAGACATGGTACTGTGCATGGGCGCCGTTCTCGTACGTCAAAGACCCTGAGGCCCTGGCGTCGTTTTTTTTTTTTTTTTTTTTTTTGCGCACAGTGGAAGTTTGCCTTACTTTGGCCCCCTGGACCCTCGCAGATCGATCCAGTCATGGCTCCGATCGCGATTTTCTGCGATGTCGTATTTTTCCAAACCATCCTGTGGCGTTGGGTCCTCGTTTTGAAGTGATTCATGGGCCAGCAACATATGTACACGCATGCGGTTAGCTTCCCCTGGAGTGCGTGTCAACACGGACGTTCCTGCAGGCAAGACCGCGGAGGGCGTACATGTACATATGTCGTTGCTCGCCCAGTGACAGCGCTCCGCATTCTTTCCTTCCTCTTTCCTCCTCCTCCTCCTCCTCCTCCCATCCCTTGCCTCTGCCCTCCGCATGTGCATTTCGGAAAACCTCTCACACGTTCCCCCCGCACTATTTCGGCACACCCCTCACACGTTTCGTGGCGCTCCACCGAAGGCACTGGTGGCAGGGTTCACACGCGTCCCACCGCACCATGTCGGCATACCTCTCACACGTGTCGTGGCCCCACAGGGGGTTTCTCCGAAGTCCCCGGTGGCAGAGTTCGCATGCGTCCCCCCGCACCATCTTGGCACACCCCTTACACGTTTTGTGGTCCAAAAGGGAGCTCCACCGAGGGCCCCAAAGACAGGGTTCGCCTGTGTCCCCCAGCACCATTTCGGCACACCTTTTATACGGAGCTTTACCGAAGGCCCAACCGGCAGGGTTCACATGCATCCCCCGCACCATTTCGGCACACTCCTCACACTTCGTGGCCCTGTAGGGAGCTCCACCGACGGCCCCAGTGGCATGGTTCGCCCGCGCCCCCTTTTCATTCCGACATACCCCTCAGACGTTTCGTGGCCTTATAGGGAGCTCTACCGAAGGCCCCAGTTGCAGGGTTCGCATGCGTCCCACCGCACCATGTCGGCATATCTCTCACACGTTTCGTGGTGCTCTACCGAAGGCCTCAGTGGCAGGGTTCTACATGCGTCCCGCCGCACCGTGTCGGGGCACAACCCTCGCACGTCCCCAGGGCCCCATATGCGGTCTCCCCCGAGGGCTGTGACCCCCCTCCTCCTCCTCCCCGAGGGATGTGAGGAGGAGGAGGAGGAGGAGGAGCAGGAAGAAGAAGAAGAAGAGGAGGAGGAGGAGGAGGAGGAGCAGCAGGAAGAAGAAGAAGAGGAGGAGGAGGAGGAGGACGAAATTCGGGTTAGTTTTTAAGCTCGTGGTCGGCCGCCCCGCGGGGCAGGTCGGGCAGCGGGGCCGCGGCTTCCCCGCGGTGTCGGCGGGGAGCTTCTCTGCATGGTTCGGGAAGGTAATTTTCGGCCGTTCCCTCCGCTTTGTTCCCTGCATGGTGGCACAGTTCGCTACAAAGGTACCCCCGTTCAGGTAGCCCTCCGCCAGCGAAGCTACTCAAGCCGAGCCGCCGACGCAGAGGTGCCCAGGGAACGTGCGCCCCACAGCCACTGCACGACAACACGCAGCAGTTTTTCATGGCTTCTAGATCTCGTGGGCTCAGATCAGGGATTTGGACTGGGCCCTGGGCGTTCTCTCAGACTGTGCTTTTTCGCTAACTTTTCGTTCGCCTGAACCTGGACTGCCGCTCGAGAAAACGCTCGGCATGAAGCCCGTGTTCGTAGCTTGAGATTTTCTCACCTCCGAGCAGGGGTGTGCCCCAGCAAAGGTAGCCTGGAGAGGGGGCCTCAGGGCCCCTGCCTCGGAGCGACCGGAGGCCGGGTTCTGGCGCGCACCGCGATCGGCACCGTGGCTGCCGGGGGTGGACGGCCCGCGTGGAAGCTGGCACAGTTAGAATCCGCCAACGTGGGCGTCGGGGTGCAAAGATAGCCGCGGTTCGCGCCTCGTGGTCTGGGGAGCTGGCATTCCCGGGTGATCAGCACGGCTGCGTGAAGACAGCACTCTCGCGTCGCTCTCCGTGCGGGGCGATGCGCGGTGTTGGGCCACCCAGGTTCCAACACAGGGCCCCGTCTTCGACCAGTCGAGAAGCCGCGTCCCCGCCCTCAGTTGGGTAGGGGAACGAAAAGTGACATAAACATAAAAACTCGGAGGTCCGCGCGGATTTCTCGGATCGGCGCTGGACCCCCCTCCCTGGCGCGCGGAGCGCGCCAGGGGCGGCGCCGGAGGCGCCGCCGGGGTGCCCCAGCGCCGATCCGAGAAATCCGCACGGACCTCCGAATTTTTATGTGTATGTCACTTTTCGTTCCCCTATTGGGGGTCCTGGGCTCAGGATGGTCCTGGCCAGAATCGGTGTATGTGCATAGCTCTCTTTCCTCCATGAGTTGGGGGTGGCAGGCCCGCGTGGAAGCTGGCGCATGCAGAGCAGCAGCGGCCCAGCACACCCGGCGGGGGCGGCAGGAGAAAGAGCGGCGCCCCCCATACGAGAGCGGCCGGGTGCCCGCGCGCCCAGGGCCTCCGGAGCTGGCCGAGCAGCGGTCGGTGCCCTGCTGTCAGGAGGTCAAAAAAACACACACACAGACACAATTCATCGTCGACTCCCAGGAAAGTATAGGAAGATATGGGAAGTGGGGGAAAGACAAAGCCCAAGGAAATATGGGAGAATGTGGGGAATCTTGTTAGTTGTGTGCATTTCTTTGTGTGCCCTGGGGCCCCTTCATTCTGGTCGGGGGTGGGCAGGCCTCCTACCCCGACACGTCGATTAAGGAATTGGCCGTTTTCGGTTCGCGAGATGGCGTCGCGGCCGTCATTTTTGCGGGTCCAGGTCCGTCGGCTTCGGTCCCAGGCCGTTTTCACCAGGGGAGGTCTACTGAAGGGAGGTCTGTCCCACCGCCGATCTGGCTGCTCCTCTGGCCGATGGTTTTCAGAACGGGTGTCAAGCCCAGTGTGTTTGCGGGGCCTCAGAGGGTCCCGAAATTCCCTGCGGTGCACTCGGGGGATCTCGTCCGGATTTCGTCGGGCTTGATCGACATCTGTGCCATACTTGCACGAAACATCTGGACGAAATCTCGACGAAGGTGGAAGGGGGGTGGTCGAACTCAGGACGAAATCCGGTCGACATCACGGGAATGATGGGGTCGCGGAGGAGGTCCATGATGTGCGTTTTCCCGCGCCTCATCCCGCCGATCGCGCGCAAGTCTTGCGCCGGAGCCTGCTGCACCGCCTGCGCCGCATCTGGACGGGCCTCTTGCGGGCTGGCGCACACGCTGGAGGAGGAGGAGGAGGAGGAGGAGGAGGAGGAGGAGGAGGAGGAGAGAGGAGATGGAGGAGGAGGAGGAGGAGGAGGAGGAGGAGAGGAGGCGGAGGAGGAGGAGGAGGAGGAGGAGGAGGAGGAGGAGGAGGATGGCGCCAGCACGCGCGCTCCGAGGAGCGCCGTTCTGGGCCTCAACAGAGCGAGGGCCCTCTCCGATCCCCACACGGGGCCCGGCCGCCCCTCGGGGAGCGCTGCGAG